CCCTGTGGCTTCTCCCATGCTCTGTGGCTTGTCGCATCTCGTGTATCTGCTCAGCACACTGCTGTAGTCATCTAACTAGTGGTGCCTTGCATGCCAGATTGAGTGGAAAAGGGAGTGTTGGGTATGTACGCAAGAAGCAGCTTGGCTACAGGGCAAATCTAGACAAGAGCTAATTGTGCCAATCTTACGCTCCGTGCCTCAGATTCCACAAGCTTGCCTGTCACTGCCTCCAGCTGAGTTCTGGAAAACCAAACCACTTCTGTTGCTTCCCAGGATGAAATTAGGGGAGACACACCATTTTCTCACTAGCCTCAGCACACACCACCCTATACACTCAAAAACCTTTTCTTTTAAATATAGTGTATTCCCTACATTAGAAGAGTAGTCCCAATTTTGGCAGGAGGTGGCCTTTATCCCAGAGAAAATAGATGAGTTTACAACAAAGACTTGTTTTTCAGCCATCCTAAATAAATACCTTTTGATCCCAGTGGGCCAGTAATTCTTGTGTCATATTTAAGATGTGGTTTATATCTTCTATGTATTTTAAATGCATGTTATATACAACTTACATCTTCATATTTACAAACTTGACTATTCTAGAACATTATTTGAATTTATTTTTTCTCATTACCATCTAATGCTTCTTTATTATCAGGTGGCTGTCCAGACACTAGGAGTTTTTGGTAGGCATTTCCATTTGACTACTGAAAATACAGTGTAGCAATTTCATTAAATTTTCCAGTACCTTTAAAATAAAAAATAGAGTAAGTTTAATGTTAAACTTCCTGCTGCTTTTTCATCTGCTAAACTGTAACCTTTCTGTAGGGTACATCAACTTGAGCTGGAGGCCTTCCAGCACCTATAAACGGAGAACTTTTAGAGATAACACCTTCTAAAGGTAGGCTGTGAAGCTGCAAAGACAATGAAACTGAGAGCGTGTAGATAAATACAGTACTTGGTTTCAGAAACAAAAACCTGAGGGCAGTTCCTACAGAGCAGTCTAACACTTCTTGGAGTCTTTTGGCATTTCTTCCATTGTTAACGTATCCCAGAATGTACCAGGGTGATACCACAACCACCCTGAGACTTCACCGCTTGCTTTCACCACACTCAAAGCAGCCATATTTGGGCTGAAGTGTCTTGGAGAGACAGAAGGAGCGTAGCAAACAAGACCACACAGTTCAGCTCTGTTTCCCAAGATGTGGCACAAGGCTAGGGGAAGGACAGTCACACAACAGCCCGACGGCATGCTTAGAGGCACCAAGCTACATGACTTTTTTCCCAGTTGAGCAAGCACAACTCCAGCACCTCACATGTCCTGTGCATCAAGCCAAGCAAGCCATCAGCATGCCGTTGTCATCCTGGGGTATATATCTAATTAAAGCAGTAACTTTGATGCTGCATTTTTCTGGTGTCCAGAACATCAAGAACATGTGAGATTACTGACTCTAAGGAAGCAGACGAGTTACCTAAACATAAAGCACAGTTAGCAGCTACAGCAGCTGTGGACATCATATCAAAACCTAGAGAAGCTTTAAGTACATCTGGGGTTCATTGCAAGGGGTGCCTCTAGAGGTCATTTTTCCTTTGGACTCATCATACCATACTTGTCCCCTTTGGAAAGCTGGGATATCAGATCACCTGGGATTTAGAGTCATTAAAGAAGGACATACTTTATGACCCTTCCTTACTTCTGGTCCATTGCTTTCATTTCTTACTGCAATTCCGTACTTTTAATCTTTTCTCCACAACAGTGAGAATAGAAATGTACTTTTGGAAAAAAAAAAAAAAAAAAGTGTACTTTCAAAACCCCTGAGATTTTAATTTACTCATTCCCAGGATCTGGACTGTAAGTAAATCGTATTATAGAATTATAATATGAGGCACATAAAAATCAAAACAATTGGCTATGTTGGTTTAATCATGGAATTGAAAGACTCTGTGAGCATGACAGCTAACTAAGTTTGCTTTCCAATAGGTTTGTCTCATGACAAATGAGTTTTTAAACTCCATTATAGAAAACTGCAGCGGAAGGTCACCCTTAATAGATACTAGGGACACATTAGGAATGTCCTATTTCAGGAACAGCTGTGATCAGAGCTTTCTCCTTTTTAATTATCAGAAGAGGAGGATGAGAAGAAAGATATAAAAAAAAAAAAAAATCAAACCAGAACCTAAACTACAGTGGATTCTCTGGTGTCTAATTTAATTTCATTTAACATTGCATTTTTCTTCTTGATGAGAACATTAATAAGGATCCTTCTGCTGTAGCGATATGTGAAGAACTCAAAGACCTCTGTCTTCTTAATAAGTTTTGAAACCTCAGTCAAATTTACAAGGGACCAACAGACAGACAGATTTATTACCATATTGGCACAGACACAGTGACAATGCAAGGCTTCCCTTCCTAAGGAAACAAGCTACAGATGTGAAAATAGAAGGGTATATACCAAAATCCCATCCACAGTCACTTCAGTTTTGCATGTCTTTCCTTCCCTTCTTTCTGATCTATATTTTTTCTGTGCAGAGGGTAAACTCTTGCAAATTCTTCAGGGCAGAGATATTATCTAAACACAGAGGGAAAATGTGCTGACGGATGCCTCTGCCTTTATCGAAGATCTTTAACTGGATGCCGAGGGTAGCTGGGGCTTTGCGTTTCTCAGTTAATATTAAACTTGGAACATAGCTGGAGATAACATTGGATCCTGGCTTCTTCAGTCAGAGAAAATTCCTATTAGTCATGAAAAATTTAGTTGAAATAAGCAATACAGGATTGGACCATTATCTATTATGAATCCTTTTTTCAAGCTAAAGTAATTATGAGATAAACAAGTTCTGTTCTTGCAAAAAAAAAAAAAAGAAAAGAATAGTCCCCAGTGTTTTTAGAAAGGATGGATTTTATTCTGTAATTGCCTTTTTGCAGAAAATCATTGGAAGACTAGACAGGAAAGATACTTGTTATTTTTTGGCAGACTAAGTTGGTACGTGTTTTATTTACTTTCAACAGGAACATTTCTACTGAAATTTGAGATAGAACCAACTACTCTAGATGACTAGAATCATAACTAACTGAAAACAAACAGTGCCACCATATTATTTTGCTTTCCATATATACTTACCCAGTCACTAAATATATTTTAACTCTAAGTCTGATGCACAAACACATATGTTATGCAAAAGCACCCACACCACAAAGAGGTAAGTAAAGCCCTGACTATTTCCACTGCATTAGCATGTACAAGCTGTACACCAGGCAGCAGGAAATGACATTTGTCTCAGGTGATTAGTGGCTTCTACCTTTAACTGTGTTCTATTCATTTACAGAGTAGTGCACATCAGTGTTCTCCTGCATCAGCTTAAACCCATTTGTTTCTAACTTTTTTTTTTTTTTTGGTTAGGTAATGTTTGGATGCATTGCATTCCAGGGAGCTGCCCTTTTGCTTATTTATGTTTGTAGCTTTACAGGGGCTTAGTTCCCTTGGGTACAGTTTTCTCTCAAGTACCACATTCAAGACGCAAAAAGTTCTTGAAGTGGACATAAATTACATTTGGCTGAGCGCAAGACTCAATCGATATACTTTAAACGTTTGAATACTTCCTGAAATGCTGCTGGCACGCCTGGATTTGCTAAATAGACGCTGGGGGGAAGCTGAGGAATTAACCATAACCTCAGGAGACCAGTGTGCTGAGGCTCCATCTAGAGTCAGTGGAGAGAACGTTTCCTAAAAACTTTTTTATAATCCCTATAAAATAAGAATAAGTGACCAAACCCTGCTCCATATGCACATAATCTTGTGCTGACTTCCATGGGCTTTGGGTCGAATTTAATGGCCATCTTACAGAGCTGCTGCACGGGAAGTTTGCCGTTAAATAATGTTTGTGGACGGCATTGAATGGGCATTTTATGTAGACAATGGAGCTTTTTCCTTACAGTTTATCACCAATGTGTTCTGTAGTTGTATGCAGACAAATGCATTCACACCAAAGCTTAAAAATTAAAATTGGTTGTTTAAACTTCATCTTAGCTCATCTAGACTCCAAAAGGGAATGATGCGTTAGTCCAGGACAGCTCAAAGGAGAGTACATCTTGAAGCACAGACTATGATTTAAATACCTCCACAGAAGAGTTGGGATTGCCCACAGACTGTTAACTACTGGTAAATAACTCACAGCAAGATGAGCTGCTGTACTATCACATTGAAACTGATTATTTAAATCTGTGCTTCCAGTTTAGCCAGTTCCTCTCAATTTCCCCCAAAATAGCAGAACTATGTCAACATTTGGCACTCTCTTTTAAAAGCACAAAATCCCTGTTTTTGATGATTATCAGGAGTCAGTGCTTTTTATCAAAATGCTAAAGTATGTGGAAAAAATAATACCTCTTAAACCTTCATATAAGTGTTGTTTGCAAGGCTTATTTATTGTCTCACCCTGAGTGTGACCATTGTCAACATTACACCAGATCAGCTGAGGCTTTGTCTAGCCAAGCCTTGAAAACGTCCAAGGACAGAGCTACTAAGCACTAGCACAGTCCTAATCTTGCTCTGCTGTTTCCAGACCTCTAATGCAGAAAATGTTTCTGCTGGTTCCCTTGTGCTTTGTAAAGCTTCCACTTCTCAAGAAAGTCCTATGTACCAGAATAACTTCAGTGAAAGCATTATACAATTATACAAAATACCATGTCTGAAAAGCAACTGGAGATGATCTACAAACTATTAAGGACTAGATGCTAACTTCATCACCTTTTCTGCTTTTGCTCCAGCCTCCGCTGGTTTATGCTGGCACTTAACATGATGTCTGCAGGGCTTTCCCTAGTCTCTGATGGAGACAATGAAAATCTTCCCACTGCAGTCTCTCACTTTTGCGTCTGGCTTAGTTTTGCTTCTGGAACGATAATGTTGATCATCATCGCTGATCCAAGACCAATAGTCCCAGGTTGCTAAAACTATAAATCTAACAGCTCGGTTTTTTAAAACCTATCTTTTTTTACCTTTCTCTAGGTTGGAAAAATCCACAAGAATTCTGCCCGCAAAAGAGAATACCACGTACTGTTCATGGTAATCACCACAGTTATTTGTTATCTCGTGTGTTGGATTCCCTATGGAGTTATAGCATTACTTGCAACATTTGGCAAGCCAGGTGTGGTGAGTCCAGTTGCAAGCATCATACCTTCCATCCTAGCAAAAAGCAGCACTGTTTGCAATCCAATTATCTACATACTTATGAATAAGCAGGTAAGATATATATTATTTTTTAATTATTTTCTTCAATGTCTATTAGGCATTCTTGGCCACTGTGACTACCAGTCCTATAGATGTGTCTTTGGGAGAAGGGCATTCGAGGCTTGTCCAGACAATATCACTGAAGTCTTAGGGTGGAAGCATTTGCAGTCAACATAATATATTGCTAGATAGGAAGAACAGATAAACATTTGCTTACTGAAATTGCTTGTGTTCTTCTGAGGACACACTGGGTGTTAATTTGTATGCTGCAGAGTTGCCAAAGGTATCGCCATCTATTTACAAGAAGAATACTCAAACATTTTGGGGGAGGAGGGAGAACAGAGGGACAAGAAGAGGAAGGGTTTTCATGACCTTGAAAATGATATAAAGGAGGAGACCATTTGCAAATACTCAGCATTTGCATGACAGCTCCCCTTGAAAAAAAATGGTCACTGCAATTAGAGTTTTTGTGGACTTCTGCATCCTTCCTGTTAAATTCCCAGTTCAGCTACATGCCAAAATAGATAATTAATTTTGTCTCATGAGGACCAAGGCCAATTCTAACACTTCTACAATTCCAGATCCAGTTCAGGTCCCTCATTCCTGTAAATGGCATTTTTCAGTACACAAAAGTAAACTTCCTAATGTTACTGTGCTGACAATTCTGAGTTTGACAATGGCAGATCTGCTATTTTTAAAAAGTGTTTTACAGTAAGATATTTAGAAAAGATGCATAATTTGTGAAAATGTCTTACATTTTTTATTACATTATGTGTTAGAGGTTGTTCTCAATTTCCTTTCTTCGTTATGTCCATTACACAGTTATAAAGCAAGTAAACCCCCTTTATCCTTTCTTGCTCAGTGTATGCTGGAGCCTACCCTTAGTATTTATCAACAGCAGCATTATATTATTATGGAGTCTAGATAAGGGAAAAGTTGAATGTAACAACCAAATAGATTCCAAATCTGCCACAGCCTGAGATCATTCTTTGCCTGGTTCATCTAACATAAATTTCTTAAATAAGTAGTGAATCTAGTCCTGGAGTTTGAGAGAAATAACTCAGGCAAGTCATGAAACCTCCCTGAAATCAGAAGAAAAAAGTGCTATTGCCTTCCCCAAGACCAGGACTTCATTTCCAAAGTCTGGTTTGATCTAACATTGACAAAGATAGAAAGCTCCCTTTGAAAAGTGCTAATGCTGATGCAAAATACTAATGTTTTCTCCTTCCCCTTTTTGCAATCATTATGGAAACTTCTCAACAGCAGCATCTGTCTTACTTCTTTATTCTCTGAGCACTTTGACTAACGTCCTTGACTTCCACAAGATCATCTGCCCGTGCTGCGATCACTGGAGCAGGCTATAACAGTCATCACAAGTACATTTTGGTATTTTCTTTACATGTGGAGCTTATCCCAAATAGCAGGAATATGGATGCCAGGGGAAAGATACGGCTCCTAAAACACATGAACTCAGTACAGAGCCTTAGGTGCCTCCACATGTCTCAGGAACAGAATCACATGCACAGTTACTTGTGCTGACAACCTGGCATCCACAGAAGTGCTCCAAGGAGTTATTGAGAACTGTGTATTCATAAGCATCAAAGGCTTATGAGCCAGTCACACTGCTGTGGGTGTGCTGAGGCAAAAAACAAAGGCTCACTGTTGAGAAAAATTTGATTAGCAAGAATAAAACCAGGGTGCTTGCACATCACAGGAATGCAGCAAGCTGTCTAAAATCACCCTTTCCTTGCAATAGCTGCCTCTTTCAGCTACAAAGAAAATACTTCTGAGTGCTTGTTTCTTGATATGGGGTTTACTTTTGATCCAGTTCATCATTTCGTACAAGGAAAGGTCAGTGTGGGATGATCGGTGTACATGGGGAAGATCTGTTAGGACAGTTTTGAAGCAAGGCAGGCTGCTTCTTGGCAGCACGATCTGTAAAGGCTGTGCAATGATTCAGGTTTTGAAGCAAGGCAGGCTGCTTCTTGGCAGTGCAATGATTCAGAAGCACCATGGCAGGGAGCTGGAAACATTTTCTTATATGTCCTTCCTTCGACACCAGTCACATGCGAGGCCAGTGTATTACATTTCTCTCTTTGAACCCTGAGAATGTTTCCTTTGTTTCCCACTGCCTACTGTTCCACAGCTGCCTCCAGTTAACAAAAAAATGCAAGACGGCAAAGTCAAATCAGTCTTGGAGGTTGGATCATTAGTTGCCAGCTGGTAGTCACTGTATGGGTTCGGGTTTTTTCATAGTTAGCTTCCTTATTATTGCAGAAATCAAGACAAAATATCACTCCTGATAAGCAGCTCAGTCAGATTTGGGGTAAATACTTTTCACTGTAATAAAATCAAAATAATAGCTAATGCCTAGTATTAATCTGCAGCTCTCATCTGCTGTGCCACTGTGTATTAGCAGTAAAAATAATTGTTTTTATCTGACACTGAGGAATGAGCTTCACTCAAAAAGGATGCAACACATCCCTCTGTCTGTTCCCTTTCCTTTCAGAACAGACACAATAGTAACACCCTCATCCCATGCGTCACTGGCATTCATGGCACCTCAGCGACTCTCTAGTGGTTCTCATTCTTTTTTGTAAATTTAACACCTCAGGAAAAGCTGTCTGCCCAGCACTCAGCTTTTCTGGGCTTTGTGCTTAGCTGAGAATTGTCACAGCAGGCTGGTGCCTCCCAACGTAGAAATTATCAGGCCTGCATTTTTCAGTCCTCCCTTTTTGAATGTGAGATGCCACAGTAGGCTATTTACTCCTGCATCTTCTAAATACACTGAGAACATATGGCTTAATTTTTAGTTCTCTGTACAAAAGCTAACCTTTTTGCTTTTGGACTTGCCCTGAGGATTGCAAAACGGCATTGGTTGACTGCAGCTGTGTTGTTAGCTTCCAGCTATCATAAATCAATGTGGAATATCGCGGAACCATCAGCCTCTGAGTCAGCCTTAAAACTCATCCTACAGAGTACATGTTTAAATTAACTCTCAAGCAGGCCCTGAGTCACTTTCATGGTCGAAGAACCCCAGAGAAAAAAGTTTTGTCTTCGCTGTTGCATTCTGCACTGACCTGAAGCCATAAAATGCTGGGGAAAATGATTAATATCTTTCCAGTCGCAGGCACTCCTTCAGGTGGGATGGCTTGGGGCACACCGCTCTCCTCCTTCCTCTGCTCTCCTCCAGGAGGACAGAGATGCACTGTTTAAGCTGGACTGTTGCTGGGCTGATAACATCACGCCAGGCAGACATTAAGCTTTGTTGACAAAGCTGTAAAGCACTAAACTGCCTGAGACTGAGTAAGGGGAAGCTGAAGGAGACAGTAGAGCAGGAGACTCTGCTTTCCCTGTTCTCTCGCTATGGATGGCTCTTTGCCCCTTGTCATCACAGCCTCCTGTGCCTAGGGAAGCCCTCCCCAAAGGGCAGGACCCCAAAAATGTGGGCCATAGCCAAGTACCATGACAGCTGGGCAGGCGCTGACCCCCAGTTGCCAGGGCAAGCTGGGCAGGGTCAGCGTGCTTAGGCTTTCAGTGCATCACTCTTTTATAGTCACGCAGTTATGCAGATTTTCTGTTTCATCTTCTCTTAGCTCTTTCAGTGTCTTTTATTCCCATCACAGCTCCCTGTCAAGTTCACATTGTCTCTCTTCAAACTTCCACCCATGCAGCCACCCCAAACAGATTTTTAATGACACCCTCAACTACCTTCTTTTGACTGTGACAGAAACCCGCTTGTGTTACATGCAAGCAGGTATCAAACATTCACCCGAGAAATACGGAGCTCCCCTGTAGCCATGGGCTTGTTGTTGAGGAGCTGATTGCTCAGGGCATCTTGCTTTCATGTATTCCATAGAGAAGCACAGGGACCCCGTCACAGAAGAGCTTTCTGGCTGGTGTAACTGTGCTTGAGGACATACTGCACTGAGAAGGGATCATTAGCTGGATAACATAATGGCATGGAAGCTTTTGAGGTTAACCTTATCTTACGTATCAGAGGTTCATTTTTTATTGATACAGAAATCAAGATAAGAATAATGAGTGCTTGAAAGGGTATGGTTATGGCTGAGACACAGTGAGACTGAGTGACACTGCACTTGCTATTTCGCATCATTTCAAGTTAGCCCACAGAGAAAGCAGGAATTTTCTGCATTGGTACTGACAGCCAAATTTAAGTCAAATTAAACTTGTATCACTCAAAGATTTACAGAACCAATCACTTGGAAGCCACTGATCAGATTACAAGCCACAGCCTTTGCTGGTATAAAATAGCCTTGCTCCACTGCAGCTCATGGGCTTCCCGCTAATTACTTCCACTCATTTAGTCCCTCAGGTAGTGCATCTAAGGCTCTCTAGACTACTGAAACTGAGGCTAGCACATTTAATACTGTTATGCATATTAAAATTTGGAAAAAAGCCCACCCAAACCCTATGATCAGCAATGTGCTATTTCTGGTGTCAGAAAGTGCCTCTGAGCAAAAGTAAGGAGGGAGAGTGTGAGGGAAGGGATATATTAGATGTGAGTAAAAGTCCCTGATTAGCAGTTTGATTTCTACTCTCTGTCTTTTTGTATTAAAATCATTGCACTTTTGAAAACAGAAGCTGACCCTGTCATTTTCCCCAAGGATTTGGAGAAGTGATGGTGAAAAGAATAGATACACTTACTTGAAAATAATTAAGGCTGTGACCTTTCCAAATTTATCATGTATTGGGGAGATGCATGGGCTGGGCAGAGGAGAAACTAAGTAGAAAGAATGAACAAACTAAGCCAAGTACAAAGACTTTCTTTTGTTTTTCTGGGGGACAATGAGATTTGAATAACGATAATGTACTTAAGAGTGTTCCTCAACGAGACCTGGACCCAGGGTGTGCAACTGGGCTTCTTATGAGTGAGCACTTACTGTTGTTCCAATGGGACTGCTCACACAGTGAATTGTCTTCTGGTTTATCTTCACTGTTCACACACACAAGGTGAAGAAGCAGGGGAACATTGTTGGAATCTGATGTGC